GGTTTTCACACGATTTATAGGTATTATCTCATTCACACGAGTGCATCCATGCTTGTCTAATAAATTTTTATAATATTCCACTGTTGGTTCATAATCCTTTCTTCTCCCTTTCTCTAAATCGCAAACGAATAAAGCTACTTCATCATTCGCAGCCACTATTGAATATGGCAACAATCTACAAAGAGAAATATAAATTTTAATAAAAAATTTGACAGAAACACAACAATTTTTATTATACATAAGGTATCATCATTACAAGATTTATAATCAGAAAATCTCATAAGGATCCATTGGTAATTACAATATATAATCATGTGAAGTTTTAATAAAAAGAAAATAAAATCTTTTAAGATCCATAAATTCACTTACATTCTCATTTGTCTACGAGGCATCTCTGGTATTCTGACGCTAGTCACTTGTATAAATATCGGCCGAGCCTCCTCAACGAGAAGATTGTTCGTCTCTTTTAACTGTTCTTGAATCAGATGAAAAATCGCAGAAATGCATTCTAGAATTTGTTTATTCGATAGATCCTTCTTCAAGTTAAATTCCTTTGACATCTCTATCGTCTCTGTTTCAGAACTCGTTCGTTTCCGCTTTCGCGTTTTCACTTGCGAATTTGAATTCTCTCGTTTCATTTTCTGTGTGTATTGTCTGTACTTAAATGACTATCTGTTCTGTACTTGACGCAATATTTCTATTTCTTTTTTATCTTTCTTGCGTTTGATCGCGACCATGTGGTAATTACACACGCAGTCATTAGCGTATCAATACGTCGTGCTCAACATTATATCATTTAATTATTATGATAATTAGACAAGAATCCATTTATTCAATTATGTTGAGAAAAAATTAGTCTTAATAAAAATTTAAGAAAGTAAAATATCTCATTGCCAGTTATATACATACAAATCAATGAAAAGCACGTGGTCCAACGGTTTTGACTAGTTCAGCCATGATGTTTAGCCGTGCCGAAAGTGATTAAGCGTGATTTACATGGGGCGGCTTTTATTCGCTAGAAGCCTCGTCTAGTGACATCATTAATTCGCCAGTGAATTCTCTCGACTCTGCTGCTATTCGCTTGAAGCAAGCTTCTTTATTCGTCCGCGAATTCGCTAATGAAAGCTTCTTGTACACGCTTGATTTTTATTCGCTAGTGTGTAAGGCAGCAACACGATTCAGTGTATAACTTTATCAATCTCATTCTTCAGTGCATAAGTCTGATTCCGGCCTTACTTTGCTTTCTTTTCTACTAATTGTGATTGGTGTTGCTATTCTGTTCCGTTGTAAATTTCCGCTCATGAGACAGCGGTCTAAATTGATAAGCGTCACTCAGGGGATCGATTCTGTATGTTGAAATGAGGTGAAAATTATAAAAGTGAACGAATTTACTAGTATACTGATTATTCCATTGGTCAACTCCTAATAAATTTGCTCACTTTTGTAATTTTCACTTTCTTTGAAAGTATAGAATTGAGTCCCAGATACGTCGGGTTTGAAAAATAGGTCTGTTCGCGTTGCTCGCACTTTTTGCACTCGGCACCTTTTATTAGGTGCATTCAGTAAGCGCTTAGTAAGCTCTTGCATTTAATTGGCATATTCCGTTGCAACTAAAAATATAGACCAAACAGATACACTGAGGGCTTAGAAGCGGACGTAATACTGAATGCACCTATTGATGTATTCTTCCAGATCTAAAATGCTGATTGGATGATCTAAAAGAATATACCAATAACAGCGAGCGCAGCCAATGATCGCGTTCAGCAGACTTATGCCCATTTCCACTAACATAAATTAATTTTAATCTTAGTTCAACTTACTCTTTGTCTTTTTTTAGTTCTAAAAATTAGAAAAAGACGAAGAGTAAGGCCGGAATCAGACTACGCATTAAAGAATGAGATTGAAGATTAAAAGATTGATGTTTGACCAATCAGAACAAAAGAAATTAAAATTTCTTTGTCCTT